TTCTATTTTCTTTTTTTAAAATTTTTTGGCCTGGTCTCCCTATTCCCAGCCCACCTGGAAGTGACTATGTAGACAAGGCTGGCCTTGATCTCGCATATGCCTCTGCCCCCTGTGGGTCGGGATTAAAGGCTCGTGCCATCATGCTGAGCAATTTGTTATTTTTTATTTTATGTGTATGTGCCTATTGTCTGCATGTAAGTGCACCTGTGTTATGCAATGCCCATTCAGGTCAGAAGAGGGTATTGGACCCCCTGGAACTGCAGTTACAGATGTTTGTTAGTCGCCATGTGGTTGGATGCTGGGAACCAAGGAGCAGCCATTGCTCTTAACCACTGAGCCATTTCTCCAGCCCCAGCGATTTTCTGTCTTAACTCTTTGCCCTCCAGCTCCCAGAGGGAGGGTCTGGGTTTCGTAGTCTGACCTAGAATAGCCATTTAGTGACGGTATATCAGATGACTGAATGAATCAATGAATGAATGCTAATTTTAGTCTTTCCTACAAGCTAAAAGGCTGCATAAAGGTAGAGAAACCTCTGGTCCCCTTTTACTAGCCTCGTGCCCTGGGCAGGATTTTACATAGTTCTCAAGTGCTCAGTACCTGCTTTCCGGTCCTCTCTTTGTGGCCTCTCCTTGCCTAGAACTGTCTGTAGTATCCGAGTTCCTGCAGCATGGGCTGCCCCAGATAAGCAGCCACACCCTGGAGAGTCTCTCCTTCCTGTCAGATCGCCAGTACATGGAGGTAGCAGCTCGCCAGAGACAGTATTGCATCCTGCTCCTCTTCCACCTGGCTCACATCCACGAGGACAGGTCAGTGCTCAGAGCTGCCGGCTGCTGGTGAGTCCTGGGCCCTTCATCTGTAGTCCACTTCCGTGTAATAAATATTTGCATGTACTTGTATGTGTTTGTATGTACACGTGTGTGAGCATACTTGTGATGTAATTTATGACAGTGCTTTGAAGACTGTACAGCACACTACTCATGCATGCTGTTATTAAACTAGGGGCGTGCTGGGCAGGACAATGGGCTGAGGGGGGATGTGGCCAGGCAGAACAGAAGGCACTACTGGCCTGGCAGCTTGGCCCTTCTCACGCAGGTTCTCCTTGGTCAGCAGGTTTGTCCCTGAGGCGGAATTATTTGTTGCTGTGCAAAGCTTCCTCCTGTCTCTGCAGGACCAGGGGGAGTGCCCTCCACCCGTGGTCTGCAGAGCCTGCATCTATCTGCTGGCAGTGTGCCAGGACAAGGACAGTGTGCTGGATGAGGTATGAACCCCAGAGCTTGGGCTGTCCTCCCGCACCTCTTCACAGTAGTGTGCCCTGGGAGAACAGAGGCTAGATGTGCAGACAGGGATGGAAGACAGAGACAGGGTCGAGGTGTTATGGGAGAAGAGGGCAGTGTTGACAGAGAAAGAGAGAGCAAGCCTGCAAATTAGAGTGAGCCTACAAATTAGCCAATGCTCTCAACAGTCCTGGGAGGTGGGAATTAGTTCCATATCATACATAAGAAAAGAGAGACAGAAGTCAAAGTAACTTTCTCTAGGGCACAGATTCTTTCCTTTGTACCACCTCTGTGCAGAAGAGAGCTGTGTGGTGTGGGGTCTCCTATCAACAGTCTGTCAGACAAAGTGGATGGTTAATCAGGCTAATTATGGATCTCCTCTCTCTCTCTGTGTGCAGAAGAGAGCTGTGCGATGTGGGATCTCCTAATAACAGTTTGTCAAACAAAGTGGATGGTTAATCAGGCTAATTATGGATCTCTCTCTCTCTCTCTCTCTCTCTCTCTCTCTCTCTCTCTCTCTCTCTCTCTCTCTCTCTCTCTCTCTCTCTCTCTCTCTCTCTCTCGTTTTACTGGGGATTGAACCCAAAGCCTTCCACATTCCAGGAAAGCATCCAACCACTGAGCTACACTCCCAATCCTTTTTATTCTTAAGACAGGGCCCAGGCTGGTCTTAAACTTGCTGTGTAGCCAAAGATGACTGAGCTCCTGTTTCTCTTGCCTCTACCTCCTGAGAGTTGGGATTACAGGTGTGATCCACCACACCTAGCTCTCTCCAGTTATTAACTGGAATACTTAAGTAAAAAGAAACTTGTTTTCATCAGCTGTGTAGTTAGTCTGAGAGAGAGATTGTATAAGAAACAGATTAATTGCTTGGTTCTTGTTTTTGGTGCCAGGAATTAAACCCAGGTTCTCACACAAGCTAAACAGTATCTGGGAATTTGGGACAGGAAGATTTGGGCCAGCCTAGGCTACATAGTGAATTCCAGGCCAGTCTGGTAAGATCCAGTCTCAAAAAGCACCCCCACAAAAGTAATTATAGTCTAGAAATATTATTACTTGATCCATAGTCAATAGTCAAATGTCACTTTTAATTTTTTCTTCAGTGCTGGAGATTGAGCATACAGTGTAAGCACTCTAACACTGAGCAACAGCCTCGGCCACCAAATTTCACTACTTAAAACAGTAAAGTTGGGCTTGGAAGTTGGCTCAGCAGTTAAGAGCACTGGCTGCTCTTGCAAAGGACCAGGTTCAAATCCCAGTACCCACATGGTGGCTAACAACTGTTTGTAACTCCAGTTCCAGGGGATCGGATGCCCTCTTCTGACCTCATCGGGCATTGCATGACACAGGTACACTTGCATACATGCAGGCAAAACACTCATACACATAAAATGTTTAAAAAAATTTTAACATTGATTGATTGATTGTATGTGTGGTGGTGAGTGCATGGATTCATGTGCCACACACAGCACATGTATGGAGGTAAGAGGACAACTTGTGGGAGTCAGTTGTCTCCTGCTAGGTTATGCGGATCAAATTCAGGTTGTCAGGCTTGGCAATAGGTTTCTTTACCCACTGAACCATCTCACTGGCCCCAATGTTCTTTATAGTTATTTTCCTACTTTAAGATTCACATTTACTTTCATGTGTCCTCTAATCATTTTCATCTGAAAATAGAGTACATGATCTTGACACTTTGTTTTTTAAGACAGAGGCTCACATGGCTAACCTTGAACTTACTATGTATGTAACTAAGAAATGACTTTGAACTTCTGATCCTCCTGCTTTTACTTCCCAAGTGCTGGGATTACAGGCATTTGTCACAACTTTTTTGTACAGTGCTGGGGATAGAACCCAGAGCCTCATACATGCTAAGCAAGCACTCTTCCAATTGAACCACTGCCCCAGTCCCTGCTCCCCACCCCAATTTTCCTGCCTCCAGAGACAGGAAATCACCTCTGCTAATGAGTTTTCTCCTTTTTGTTTTAGTCCATCTAGGTCCCCTGCCTGTAGGATGGTTCCAACCACACACAGGCAGGTCTTCCCCTCCCTAGTTAATCTTTTCTGGAAATGTCTTTACAGTTATACTCAAGAGTGCCTTACTTATCTCCTAGGCATTTCTCTGTCCAATCTAATTCTTTAGTTAATCTTTATTGCCAAAATTAAGGCATTTGAATGTTATATGTGCAATGGGACAGCAGGTTTTCAGGGTTAATAGATGAGTCATCACACTTCTTCCTCCCTTCTGAGCCAAGCCCTCAGCTCAGACTAGGGCGCCTCTGCCTTCAAGCCTCCTTCAGTCTAGTGTGGGAGGCGCACAGAGACATCGATAACTATGCTACACTGCAGAATCACAATAGAGCTGGTTAAACACAAGCACTGCTATGATCATGCACTGGATTTTTTTTTTTCCCTGTGGAGATCTTTGCTGTGCCTTGTAGAATGCCAAGCAGCATCCCAGAGCCTTCCCCACTAGATGCCAATCATGGTAATCAGGAATGTCTCCAGGCTTTACAAATATCACATAGGGAGCAAAATCACTCCCAGTTGGGAACTGCTGTTGTAAGGTAAACTCTGTAGGATTTTTCTACTAGTGCTCATTGGGATGAGGAGAGAGGTGTCCTGGGATGCTGAGATGCTGGTACATTTTCCCCAGACCTTTGCAAGGTGTATTTAATCCCCCCCCCTTTTTTTGCCTCCAGGCTGTGGTCAGTGCGATCAGAAACTTCCTAGAGGGCATCTCAGACCTGCACCTGGTCTACACTCATCACCCCCTCCTGCTCAGGTTCTTCCTGGTGTATCCAGGGTTGATGAGTAGGTTTGGGCACCGTGTCCTGGAACTTTGGTTCTCTTGGGAAGAAAGCTGCTGTGAGGAATTGGATGATAACTCCTCTCCTGGGCAGCCTACCCTTCCTGCCAGTGTGTCAGCCCTGTTCCAGATGCTCAGGAGCAGCCCCAGTATCCTGCTTATTTTGCTGGTAGGTGATCATTTGTTTCTGTATTCAGAGATGACAGGCCTTAGGGATGTGGATGTAACTCAGTTGGTAGAGTGCATATCTGGAATGCAGAAAGCCCTGAGTTTGATCCCCAATACTATACAAATGGGGCATGGTGGTGCACACCTGTGATCCCAGCACTTGGGAAGTAGAGGCAGAAGGATCAGAAATTCAAGGTCATCTTCTACATAGTGAGTTAAAGGCTAGCATGGGTTACATGAGACCCTGCCTCAATGAGAGAGAGAGAGAGAGAGAGAGAGAGAGAGAGAGAGAGAGAGAGAAAGGAGGAGGAGGAAGATGAGGAGGGAGGGAGGGAGGGAAGGAAGGAAAGAAGGAAAGAAGGAAAGAAGGAAGGAAGGAAGGAAGGAAGGAAGGTCCCCAATCATATGCCCACTAGTCCCTACCCTCTCTTCCTACTCTATTTTCTTTGCACAGCCCAAGTCATAGAAGTAATTGCCTTTAAACTTTTCGTCTCCATCTCATTAATTCATCTCCCTCAGGCTTCGACTCTGAACCAGATAAACAATGTTCATGTCAGAGAGGCCAGTAGAATTCCCCAAAGTCACATAACTAATCCATATCATGGTCATGATTGGAAACAAAAGTTACTTCTTACTAAATTAGATCCTAGAAACATCAGTGGTAAAAAGAACAGCAAGGAACAACTTTGTTTTCTGTTCACATATATAATTCCCACCATTTCTCCCCAGCTTCTAGCCATAGGAGGGAAAAGAGTCTAAAAATCTGCGCTGGTACCAATTTCTGGTTTTGATATGGGTAATTAACAGCTGAAAACAAAGCTGTTAATTGCCACTCTTATCAATGGGTGGTCTTTCATGTAGGTTGTGTAGATGTAAAAAAACAACGTCACAGATGCTCTGTTCTGAGTCTAGGCATCTGGGCAGCTGAACATGCACAGCGGGCCATGGTTCCGCCCAACACCTCCTCACTCATCATCTTCCAGTTCTTACTGTAGCCAACAAAGACCGAGTAGGCCCTTTCCAAAAGGACCTTTAGAATTCATTGACTTAGGCTGGGTGTGGTGTTACACACCTTTGATCCCAGCACTCAGGAGGCAGAGGCAGGTGGATCTCTGTGAGACCTCTGTAGATCTCTGTGAGGTCTACATAGGGAGTTCCAGACCGGTTGTGGCCACAGGGAGACCCTGTCTCAAAACAAAACAAAACAAAACAAAACAAAATTCATTAACATATTTCTGAGGGACCAGCTTTATGGCAATGGAGCAGATAAGGGCCAGGTAAGATCAGGGAAACTGGCTTGACCTTTGGTTCCATGACCTTGAATAAATCATTTCTTCTTCAGATTTCAGCCTCACACTCTATAAAGTAGGAGAGTTGGAGGAAATGATCTGTATTTGCTTTCATTATTTTTGTTGTTTGAGACAAGATCTTGCTATGTAGCCTGAGCTGGCTTGGATCCCAGTATATAGCCCAGGCTGCCCTTGAACTCTAGACTTTACTGTCTCCATCTCCTGAGTGCTAACATATTTATTTATTTATTTATTTATTTATTTATTTATTTATTTATTTAATTTCTTTGGTCTTTTGGAGACAGGGTCTCCCTGTAGCCCTAGCTGGCCTGGATTCTCTATGGAGACCAGGCTGGCCTCGAACTCACAGAGATCCGCTTGCCTCTGCCTCCCAAGTGCTGCGATTAAAGGTGTGTGCCACCATGCCCGGCGCTTTTACTTTTATTTTATGTGTGTGAGTTTTGCCTGCATGAGTGAAAGTGTATCATGTGCATGCAATTCCCATGAAGGTCAGAAGAGGACATCAGGATCCCCCATGGAGTTCCGGATGGTTGTTAGCTACCACGTGGGTGCTGGGAACTGCACCTGGGTCCTTTGCAAGAGCAATCAGTGTCCTTACCCACTGAGCCATTTCTCCAGCCCCAAGTTCTAGGATTGTGCCAGCATATCTATCTTTGAAATGATCTAGATGGTCTCTAATGCTCTAATTATGTGATTTTTATCTTCCCAGAGATATTTTTTGAGTCTCTATGAACTGACAGAGGTAAAGCAGATTTCACCCCTTCCCTTTATTAGCACACTTTATAGTGGAATTTACAACTCTACTATTTTATTTTTTTGTTTTTATTTTTTTTTTAAGACAGTCTTATACTGTAGCCCAGGCTATCCTGGAAATTAATATGTACCCCAGTCTGGCCTCAAACTCGTGGAAGTCTTCTGCCTTAGTCTCCTTAGTTGCTGAGATTATAGGTGTGAACCACCACACCTTGCTTTCTTTAAAAAATTTTTTTATTAATATTTCATTTATTTTTTTTTATGTGTATGAGTGTATTACCTGCATGTGTGTAAGTGTACCCACATTGTGCAGTGCCTGCAGAGGTCAGAAGAGGACGTTGGATCCCCTGGAACTGGAGTTAAGGGCAGTTGTTAGCCACCACGTGGGTGCTAGGAACTGAGCCTGGGCCCTCTGCAAAAGCAGCCAGTGCTCTTAACTGCTGAGCCATCTCTCCAGCCCCTCTACTACTTTTTTGATAGACAGTCTTATTTTTCCCACTTGAAAAGTTGGAGGAGTTCTTAGGAAGATGTAACCAATGTATGACCAAACGCATAGCTACTTTAGAAAACCAACACAGCACCTGACTTCATTAGGAGCTAACTGAGGCATTACTGTCAATATTGTAGTTGTTTGTCCAAGAGCCAAACCCAATATCTTGTTTCAGCATCCTTCCCCACCTGCCCAGCAGTCAGCACATCAGGGTTTGTTTGATTAAAATGCCCTCTAGCCATGTTTCTTGATATTGGGAGCTGTCCTCTCTGGGTAGGGGGTCTTTTTGTGACCTTGGATTCATGGCATTCTGTTCTAACTGGCCTGACACATTAGCTTGTCCAAAGGAATTGACTTATTAGCTGGTAGGTGCCAGGAGCGGTGGGAGATGGCCACTGGTGCCACTTCTAGTGAGTTTTGCCTTTAACATACGCTCATTAAAGTAACTCTGAAAGCAAAACAAAAAGCAATGTTCTTTTCTATTTCCTGAATCCAAGACCTCTACAGCTTTGGGCAGGGATAGGCGGGTGCCATGGCAGAGAAGGGGCCTGACCTGGTCCTGGCTTCCTTTCCTGTGCCCTGAATCTGTCTCAGCCTATCTTCTAGCCTAGAACATCTCTGTACCCTGTGCCCTCCTCTCCCTTAAGGCAGACTTAGGTTCTCTGTCCTAAAAACAAGCTTTTCCTGACCCTAATACTTTACAAGTGTGAGGGCATCCTGGAATGCACAAAGAACCAGGCTTGGAGTTCAAATACCTACTTTCACATCCTTTGTGCTGGTTTATGTGACCTCTAGCAAATCATGTAATCTGAGCCTGTTTGCTTCAGTTGGGACTGGATTTGATAGGATGGGGCTATTCTTCAAAATGTGTGAGGAGTTGGTGCATCCACCAGAGCCTTTGCCTCAAAGTAGGTGCTGAGTCAGTGGGCATTTACTCACGTTTGTGGCACACTATCCTGAGCATGCTTTTCTTTACTGTCTGCCTGTCTCTGGTTGTGTTGCCCTCTGAGCTCTGCCTCCTTCTTGTCTCAGGACCTTGTCTATTCCAGTCCAGTGGACATAGGCCGCAAGGTACTAATTATCCTGAGGATCTTTCTGAGGAAGAATGAAGATATCCAAGTGGGTGGTCTCATCCGAGGCCACTTCCTGCTCATCCTGCAGCAGCTGCTGGTGGAGTACCCTGCTTCCCCCTTAGGAGGTCAGTTTCCAGGGACTTTGGATTTGTTTTGACCCAATAAATAGACAGTTCTATTTTGGTGAATGAGGTCTGCTTTAAGAAAGAGGATTGGCTGGGCATGGTGGCGCATGCCTTTAATCCCAGCACTCGGGAGGCAGAGGCAGGTGAATCTCTGTGAGTTTAAGGCCAGCCTGGTCTACATAGTGAGTTCCAGGACAGCTGGGACTACAGGGAGACCCTGTCTCAAAAAGACCAAAAAAAAAAAAAATTGAGTTTTGCTGCAAAAGAAAAACCAAACCAGTATGGTAATAATGTACTTGGTTGTGTCTGTTTAACACAAGTGGATGTGTTTGGGCATGCAGCATGTGCTCAGAGCCCTTTGCTCCAAAATGGCAGCCCTCAGTGGGAAAAAGTAAGTGCATCTGGGTAAGGCTGGGGAGCCAGCAGGGCTGTGGGAGTGGGGTGGATCTGTGATGTGTTGGAATCTCCCACTGAGATCCAGGAGGATAGTTTCTAAATCTAGAATGGGATGCTTGGAGTCAAAGGAGCTTAATGTTCAGCAAGAAGAGACCAAAAATAGGGGTTGTTTTATCTTTAGCTATTTTTAGAGAAGCTGAATTTCTTTAAAAAAAAAAAAAATCTGCCAGGCGTGGTGGCGCACGCCTTTAATCCCAGCACTTGGGAGGCAGAGGCAGGCAGATCTCTGTGAGTTCAAGGCCAGCCTGGTCTGACCCAAAACCGGGGGGGTAAAAGGGGGGACACTCCTAAAAAAAAAAAAAAAAAAAAAAAAAAAAAAAAAAAAAAAAAGATTTGGTGGAAATTTATGATAGAAAAGCCAAGGGTATTGGGTTCAGATTAGTGTTCAAGTTCTGGACCTGTATCTTAATCTGTCTCAGCTGTTATAACAAAGTACCATAGACTGGGTGACTTGTGAACAACAGAACATCCCTAACAGTTGTTGAGGCCAGTAAATCCGAACTTCAGACACCAGAACATTTCATGTCTGGAGAGAACCTACTTTCTGGTTCATGGACATCTTGTATCCTCATGTGGCAAAGGGGACAAGTGAATCTCTCTGGAATCTTCGGAATCTCTTTATAGTACCCTTTGAAGGATGCTAATCCCATACATGGTAGCTCTGTCTTCTGATCTGATTAATTGCCAAAGGTCTACTTCCTAATTCCATCACATTGGGGATTACAAGTTCACATAGGGATGAACATGTGAACATTCAGCTCACAGCACCCTGCCTCTGCTAGCTGTGGCACCTTTCAAAGAAATCATTCAACCACTGTGAGCTTTATTATCTTAACTGCAAAATAGGAATAAAAATCTTCAGGACTGGAGAGATGGCTAAGCAGTTATGAGCACTTGCTGCTCTTGCAGAGGACCTGGATTCAGTTCCCAGCACCCATATGGCAACTTCTAACCATCTACAACTCTAGTTCCAGGAGATCTGACGCCCTCTTCCAGCCTCCTCAGGCACCCATATAGTGCGCTTACATACATGCAGGCAAAACATTGATATATATAAAATGAAAGAAATCTTTTTTAAAAGGTTTTTTAAAATCTCTGTTTCACATATTTTTTAATGGACTTTAGTGAAATAATGAATTCCTGATAGCAACCTAGAGTTTGCATTCAATGTATGAGCTACTGCTGGAAGATGGTAGTAAGCCGGGGTAAATCCTAACAAACCATCAGATCCTGTATCCTTTGGAAATAGAGAACTCATGTACTCCTTACGTAGGCAGTTGGTGGTAGGGAGGGGTGTCTAACTTCGGGTGCCCTGAGCTTAGTCTCTCTGACCAGCTGTTCTTGTTCACAGCCTCAGGCAACCTGCCACTGCTGCTGAACCTTCTCTCTGTGGTACAGCTAAGGAATGGGACAGAGCAAGAACTGGACAGTATGACCATAAAGCTGCTTCACCAAGGTACCTTGGCTACTTGAGACAGTGCCCATGGGCTTGGGCTTGGTGTGCGGTGGGCTCACTCACTAGGGCTAGTGCTCCATTCCTTTGGAAGAACTGAATAGATCAGTCTGCTCCTAGGGACTTCTTGCCGAGAATCTTCTTGGGTTTGCTTATTATAAAAAAATGTTTGAGGGCAGGCAGTACATAACATACATGTAAAATAAAAATAATAAATAAGGGGCTGGAGAGATGGCTCAGTGGTTAAGATCACTGACTGCTCTTGCAGAGTACCTGGGTTTGATTCCTAGCACCCACATGGCGGCTTATGAACCGTCCTTAACTCCAGTTCCAGGGGAATCTGAAGCCCCCTTCTGACCTCTGAGGCATTGCACGACACGGGTGCACTCACATACATGCAGGCAATACACTCATATACATTAAATAAAAAATATTTTTAAAAAAAGTTTGAGGGATACCTTCCCCTCCCTAAAAGTGTGACAGGCACAAGCCCTAGTAGAGTCAGATGTTAGATCAGTTACTTGTGTAACTTTGGATAGCTACCTTGCCTGTATTAAGCTCATTGGTAAGAAAGGAACTTCTGGGCTGGTGAGATGGCTCAGCGGTTAAAAGCACTGGCTGCTCTTGCAGAGGATCTGGGTTCGGTTCCCAGCACCGAACCAGTAGGAACAAATTGTACAAATACATGATCTGGTAGATAGTGTTTGGCCTTCATTGGATACTGCCTGTGTCAGTTCATGCTTCCCAACACCTGGTCAGCTGTCTACTCTGTCCCACAGCTGACTTCGCTCTGAGGGTCCCATTCACAGATCTCTGGGCGTGTCTCTCTCTTTTTTTCTTTTTTTTGGTCTTTTTGAGACAGGGCCTCCCTCTAGCCCCAGCTGTCCTGGAACTCACTATGTAGACCAGGCTGGCCTTGAACTCACAGAGATCTGCCTGCCTCTGCCTCCTGAGTGCTGGGATTAAAGGTGTGCGCCACCACGCCTGGCTGTCTCTTTCTTTTAAAAATATTTTATTTACTATTATTGTATGTGCATGAGTCTGGACACGCATGTACCATGATATGCATGTGAAGGTCAGAGGACAACTTTCAGGAGCTGGTTGTCTTCTTCAACTGTGGGATCTGGGGAGTGAACACATGTCATTGGGCTGGAATGGCAAGTGCCCTTACCCACTGAGCCATCTCATAGGCCTTCTACGCACTTTTATTGCCCATAACCCATACCTCACTGGGACCTTACACTGCTTGTGACTATAGTCCCTAATTCACAGTTAGCGCCAAGAGAACATTGACAGGGAAGAGTGAAATAAGTAGGAAAAATAACACGTCTTCAGTGTCTTAAGTGTTCTGGCAGGAGGCCAGGATGGATGGGTTTCTCTACCCAGAGCATGGGCCTCCTCCAAGGACTCAGAAAGGACTGCTGAAGAAAGCTCCAGACCCTGTGTTTGTGTGGTACTGTGCATTGTTGTCATGTCAAGGCTGATGCCAGGCCGGAGGAAGTTCTATATGTGATAAGATCAGCCTTTTAGAGGATCTCTGAAACTGCGTGTGATGACACATACCTGTAATCCCACACTTACAAGGTAGAGGGAGGAGGGTCAGGAGTTCAAGGCCGTCCTTGGCTATATAGTGAATTCAAGGTCAACTCAGACTGCATTAAGCTCTGTCTAAGACACACACATACAAACACACGTACACACATATGAGCTCACAGGCTGAAACCTACATATGAAATATAGTAGACATTCACATGTAATTCTTGAGTGCTTCTATTCGAGAACACTATTTGAGAGTACTGCGTTTCAGGGGTAGAGATGCTGTTGGGGGAAGACTTGCTTATGTGATGTGGCTTCAAAAAGTGAACAGACTTAGGTAGGATTTATGGTTGGGTGATGGTATTGAAATAAGGAGTGGCAATTAGGATGATGAGAGGCAAGTGTTTTTTGTTTTTTTAAATTTTAATGTATAAGTGCATTGCCTAAGTGTATGTAAGCACACCCATGTCATGCAATCCCCGTGGAAGTCAGAATCCCCTGGAACTGGAGTTAGGGACAGTTGTTAGCCACAATGTGGGTGCTGGGATTCAAACCCAGGTTTTTTGCAAGAGCAGCCAGTGCTCTTAACTGCTGAGCCGCCTTTCCAGCTGGTGGTTTATAGAGTGCCGTTTTCAGTAACTGCTCTCTTTCGGGCCAAGGCACTCGGAAGCAGCATCCATTGTTGTCGTAAGCATAAGCTCAGAGTGACAGAGCTTTATAGAGGAGATAATCTTTCAGCCAAATAATCTTTCAGCCGAGTTTTTTGGATTTTGTTTTTAAAATTTTTTTATTTAAAAAAATTTATTTTTATGTATATGAGTGTTTTGACTGCATGTATGTAAGTGTACCATGCACATGCAATGTCCAGAGGAGCCAGAAGAGGGTATTGAATCCCCTGGAACTGGGGTTATAGACAGTTATGAGCTGCCATGTGAGTGCTGGGAACTGAACCTGGGTCTTTTACAAAAGCAGCCAGTGCTCTTAACTGCTGAGCCATCCTTCAGTAGGTAACCACCCTTCAGTAGATAACCTAAGCTAGCCTCAAACTTGAAACTGTTTTGCCTCAGTCTGTCAAGCACTGGCTATGACAGACGTGTGCCACCATGTCTGGCCTGAGCCTAATCTTTCCGAACCAGTGCCCCATCGCATCCTCCATCTTTCTCGTTTTTTGTGCCTCTTATGCCCTTTTTCCCTTGTACTTCCTCCCTCGCGTGGACAGACTCCCTCTGTCAGCCTCTGCTGAATGCCCTCTTCATGATAGGAGCCATACAACTGCTGTTACAGGTTTTAAAAGTATGTGTTTATGGGGCTGGAGAGATGGCTCAGCAGTGAAGAACATTGGCTGCTCTTGTAGAGGACCACGTTCAATCTTCAGCACCCACATGGTGGCTACCTACCATCTGTAACTCCAGTTCTAGAGGATCCGACACCCTCTTCTGATCACCAAGGGTATTGCATGACAAGGGTGCAATTACATACATGCAGACATCAGACATAACACTCATACACATAAAATAAAAATATAAGCCGGGCGTGGTGGTGCACACCTTTAATCCCAGCACTTGGGAGGCAGAGGCAGGCAGATCTCTGTGAGCTCAAGGCCAGCCTGCTCTACATAGTGAGTTCCAGGACAGTTGGGGCTACAGGGAGACCCTGTCTCAAAAAGACCAAAAAATAAATAAATAAATAAATAAAATATAAATATAAATAAAATATTTTAAAATAGAGATGCATGCACTTTGAACTGGGAGTGCTAAGAGAAAAGGCCAAGTGATCAGTTCTGAGCTGATTCTTTTATAAAGACAATAAGCCCATGAGGTTATGTTCACTTCAAAAAGAAAAGGAGAGAAAAAAATATGGGTATGGGAAATTGTCCATCTAGCGTCACAGAATTCCCTTGGGAATGTGATGAGTACTCAATTGCTGGGAAAATTAGGAGAATGGGTATCATTAAGGAACAAACAACACGGCTAAGGTAGCAGGTTGGCCTCTGCACGGTCAGAGGATGGGGAGCTTAGCCAGCAACTCATACAGTTTGTTCAAGTTGCCATGTAACTTTGGGCTGGGGTTCGTTCAGATGGAGGGTGTGAAAAAAAAATCTTTAATTTTGTCACTGTGTTTCTTTCCATTGGATGTAACATGTTTATGCTCTGTCCTTAAGACATTTGAAGTTGGCCAGTTGTGAGCCAGCATCTGTGTGAAGTGTGAATTTACTTAAACTATGGAGTGCTGAGCCATAGGTCACTTGGATCCAGACTCTGGCTTTTTGCAGTGAGCAAGCTGTGTGGAAAGGGTAGCCCTGACGATACAGACATCCTACAGCCCTCCTTCAATTTCCTGTACTGGAGCCTTCATCAAACCACCACCAGCAGTCGGAAAAGAGGTACAGGGCCCAGGCAGGGCCAGTGAAAGGAAGAATGCTGGCCAGTGTCAGGAGCCCTTGCTGTAGCTTTTTCGTCTTGAAATAACTAGACTAGGTGGGCATGGTGGCACCACCCTTTAATAACCAAGCACCCAGGAAGCAAAGGCAGATGGATCTCTATGGGTTTGAGGCCAACTATATATTGAATTCGAGGCCAGCCAGGGTTACACAGAGAGACCCTGTCTCAAACAAACAAACAAAAACAACTAGGTGTTTGTGTGTGGCCAGTAGAGACAGATCCTCTCTGGTTCTGATAACTTGTGATTCTGTAATGGCACAAAGCTCCTTAGGGGCCCCACACCAGTGCTTTTGTTTCTGTGTGCTTGAAGCCCTACCAGGTGCTAAGCATCAGAGATACAGGGTTGCTGCTCTGATGTAACCATGTGACCCCTCCCCCGCCTCTTCCCTACAGCTGCCGCTGTGCTGCTGAGCAACACAGCCTTGATTGAGCTTTTGGAGAAGATGCTGGCCCTCACCTGGACAGAGGCAGGATCCCCCAGGGCCTCACTGCTCTGCTCTGCCTGGCTGCTCACTGCCTCTCTATCTGCCCAGCAGCACAATGGATGTTTGCAGGTTAGTCTCTAGCTTCATGTCTTTGGGACATGAGATGGCACTCAAAGAAGTGGTAAAATCCCAAGTTTTGGCTCCAGTTCTGTGGCATACTATAGATGTGTGACCTTGGCAAAGTATTAACTATTCTGGGTTTCAGTGTTCTGAAAGTAGGGGAAAGGTCATGGCTGCTGCCAGGTTGGTTCACATCAATACTTTTTTTTCAACTTTTTTTTTTTTTCTGTCTTTTTGAGACAGGGTCTCCCTGTAGCCCCAGCTGTCCTGTATGTAGACCAGGCTGGCTTTGAACTCACAGAGATCCGCCTGCCTCTGTCTCCCCAAGTGCACCACCACACCCTACCTGTTTTTACTTTTTTGGGACAAGGTCTTGCTATGTAGCACAGTCCAACTGAAGCCAAGGTCTTTTTTTTTAACATATTAAAAAATTTATAATTTTTATTTTATGTATATGCGTGTATTGCCTGCATGTAGGTAAGTACACCCGTGTTGTGCAATGCCTGGGGAGGACAGAAGAAGCTGTCGGATCCCCTGGAACTGGAGTTACGGACAGTTGTTAGCTGCCATGTGGGTGCTAGGATTCAAACCCAGGTCTTCTGTAAGAACAGTCAATGTTCTTAACTGCTGAGCCATCTCTCCAGCCCCTTACATCAATACTTTTAACACATGTGGACCACTTATATGTCAGGATATATTCTTGGCACAGAGAAATAAAAAATGACTGCCTTAACAGAAGTGAGACTATCCAGCAGAGGTAGTGGGAAAGGCATTTCAGGCAGAGAATGCAGTACAAACACAGGCACACAAGATGCACAAATTTAGGACATGGGGTCCATAGTTAGTGGCAAAGTGCAATATGTGGCTAAAATGTGGAGTGAATGAAATAGATCAGATTAGACAGGGAGTCAGGAGCCAGCTGTGACCTTACAATGCCCAGGGGCAAGATGGGAAGTGCCACATGTAGTTAGTTGTCGTTGCTACTGGACAGAGGATGCAGGGAACAGAAGAGCAATGCACGCAGCCACCAAAAGCTTCCTCTCCTCCTGCAGGACCTCATCAGCACAGTGCCCTTTGTCAGCTCCCCTGTGGCTATTTCACATTCAGGCATCTCTCTCCCATTCTAGCGGCTCCTCATGGACAGAAACTGTCCCTGAGCTTCCACGGTATTCTCACCGTGTCCAACACTGCCAGTCTAGTGATGGCCACACGGTTCATTGTGTTAGAAAGGAAATTGGTTTTGAACTTTGGCTCCTGTGCTGATGACAAACTATTGCAGTTATATGCTGTAGTGGACCCCACAGGATGTTGTCTGTGGCTGCTTTTATTTGTTTTGCTATTTGTTTGTTTTTGAGGCAAAGTTTCACTATGTAGCTGTGGCTAGCCTGGAACTTGCTATGTAGATCCACCTGCCTCTACCTCACAGGTGTTAGGATTAAAGACCTGCACGATCACACCCAGCCTTTTTAAATTAATTAAAAAAAAATTAAGATAGTCCCAGGTTTGATTCCCAGCACCCACATAGCGGCTACAAACTGTCCTTAACTCCAGTTCCAGGGGAATCCAAAGCTCTCTTTTGACCTCCATGGCATTGCACGACATGGGTGCACTCACATACATGCAGGCAATACACTCATACACATAAAATAAAAATAACAAAATATTTTAAAAAAAATTTAAGATAGAGTCTCATGTAGCCCAAATCTTAAACTTACTATGTAGCTATGGATGATTGTGAACCCTGATCCTCCTGCCTCCACCTTTTGAGTGCCAGGATTACAGCTGTGCACCGCCACACCTGGCCATTTATTTTTAATAGAGTATTATAAAGAAAGATATATGGAATCTGGAGAGATGGCTCAGTGGTTAAAAGCACTCGTTACTCTTCCAGAGAACCTGAGTTCAGTTCACAACTACCTGTAGCTCCAGCTTCAGGGGATCCAATGCCTTCTGGCCTCCATGGGCACCTGCACACATGTTGCATGTACTTACAGAGACACACACACATACACATTAAACATAAATGTCAAAGGTGGGCATGATGGCGCATGTCTTTAATCTCAGCACTTGGGAGGCAGAGGCAGAGGCAGGTGGATCTCTGTGAGTTTGAGGCCAGCCTGGTTTACATAATGACTTCCAGGCCAGCTGAGGCTACAGGGATTCCCTGTCTCTAAAAAGACTAAATAAATAAATAAATTATAAATAAAAATTATAAATAAATTATAAATTATAAATTAATTAATGAATTAATGAATAAAAATAATAAAAATAATAAATGTAAAATAAGGATATATAAAACATTGAGCAGGTAGTATAGAGTTCTGTGCAGTCTCTTATATTTTTAATATTTTATGTTAGTGCCGGGCATGCCTTTAATCCTAGCACTTGGGAGGCAGAGTCAGGCGAATCTTTGTGAGTTTGAGGCCAGCCTGGTCTACATAGTGAGTTCTAGGACAGCTGGGGCTACAGGGAGACCCTGTCTCAAAAAGACACACACACAAAAATTATGTTAGCATGTATTTGTCCCTTTTCACAGACTGGCTCTTCTGCCTAGAATGAGCTGGTTCCATAAGCCAACAGGGATTTCCCCCTAGTATTAGAAATTGAACCCAGGTGTCATAATACTAGGCAAGTGCTCTAGGACTGAACAGTATCCTTAGCTTTCTTTTAGTTTTTCACTAAATCGCCCATGCTGTCCTTGAACTCAGTCTTCAGCCCAGGCCGGCCTTGACTTTGTGACCCTCCTGCTTCAGTCCCATGAATAGCTGAGATTACACTTGTGGCATCAGGCCTAGCTCTTGTTTTGTTTTGTTTTTGTTTTGAGATAGGGTCTTACCCTATAACCCAGACTGGCCTGGAACTTACTATGTTGTGAAGACTGGCCTTAAACTTATGGTAATCTTCCTGCCTCAGCCACCCAAATGTTGGTATTAGAAGTGTGCTTTCCCCATGGTTGGAAGGCCTAGCATTTTCTTTTTTTGTATGTGGTGTATACATGTGTGTACACCTGAGTGTGCTCCTGATCTGTGCATGTGCATGTAGAGGCCCAAGATAACTATCAGGTGTCTTCCTTGAGAGTCAGGATCTCTTTCTGAACCTGGAGTTTTCTATTTGGGCTAGGCTGGTTGGCTAGCCAGCAAGTCCTAGGGATCCTCCTGTCTCTGTCTCTCAAGAGCTGGGGTTATAGATGCATATCACTGTGCCTGGCTTTTGTGGGTACTAGGCGTACAAACTCAGGTACTCGTGCTTCAACACACAGCAGATGCTTTGCCCACTGAGCCATCTTCCCAGCCCCAAGACCTATAATTTTTCAGGGTTTCTTTGTGCTAGACTATCAAAACCAAGCAGAGTAGTCATTCTTGCCCTCAGACAGCCCAGGCTCTGGTGGAGGAGAGCAAAGCTTTGAACCTGCCACCCTTCCAAGATCACACAGCTGGCAAATACTAGAGCCAGGATTGACTGATTGACTTGTATATATGTGTCATCATGTAATTCAGGCTGTCCTCAAACTCAAAATCCTCCTGCCTTGGGGTATAATAGGCTCTATCACACCTGGCTAGAGCCTAGATTTTGGTTTGGTTGGCTAACTCTAGATCTGAGTTAGGTGAATGGTACGTAGAGCTGTAGACTAAACTACAGATGAGTTTGATGATGCAGCAGAGATGTGTACTTAAGGGTGGGAGAAGAAATTTGGGTGGTGGGGCTTTTGCTGGTCATGTTTCCGGGACATTGATTGGGTTTATCCCTTTACCCCTCTCCCTGCCAGGTTCACCAGATGTTATCTGTGGAACTGGACCAAGTATTGAAGGCACTCAGCTTTCCAAAGAATAAGGCTGTACTGCTGTCGGGTATGGTATGGGGTCCCAGAAGGAGAAACCAAGCTATTCCTCTAGATTCTCAAATAGGACCAACCACAAGTCCATAATTATTTTATTGGCATTGTTTCCCTTCCTGAGTGGAAGATGGGGAAGGAGGCAGGAACTGGTTGTCAGGAGCCTCCTGTTTCCAGCTGCCATCTTGCGATTCCTGCGGACTGTCCTGCAGCAACGCTTTTCCTCTGCACTGGTGGTTCTGGTGCCCTCAGGGGTTCAACCACTGCCAACTCCTGAGGACACTGCCCTAGCTCCACTGAGAACGTCACAAGTGCTGTCCCTGCTCATTGGACTACAGAATCTTCTGGTACAGGTAAGTCCATTGCTGAGTGTGCCTATGGCAGCGAGAACTCTGAACAGGAAAGAGGTGGCTCCCACTCAGAATATTAGTATTTCCAGAGTGCAGCTGCAGTGGTAAGCTGGACATGGTGTCACATACCTGTAATCCCAGCATCTGGGAGGTGGAGGCAGGAGGATCCGGAGTTCAAGATCACTGTATTAGGGTTCTCTAGAAGAACAGAACTAGTAAAATGAATGTGTATTAAAGTCACCTATTGCCAGACAGAGTGGCACATGCCTTCAATCTCAACACTCTGTAGGCAGAGGCAGGTGGATCTCTGTGAGATCAAGGCCAGTCTGGTTTCTATTGCAAGTTCCAGGCCAGCTGGGGCTATAGGAAGACCCTGTCTCAAAAATAAAACAAAACACCCCCCCCCCGCCCAGCCATCTATTAGACTGGCTTACATGAGTGTCTGTATAGTCCCAACAATGGCTGTCCTCACACTGGGGAGGCTGAGACCCATGGCTGCTTAGTCCTTGGGCTGGACTCTTCAGCAGTCCCAGTATAGTCATAAAGGCCTGGAGGATTCCTGAAGGGTCACCAATCTTTAGTCCATGTTGGAAGGCTGAAGAAACTGATGTCGGCAAAGGATGGCAGCAATGTAAATGAACTGGCTAGTGAGACACACAGCAAGCAGGCAAAACGCAGAGCTTTTCTTCTGACCTCCTTATATCTGGGCAGCAGGGAAGGTGCTACCCATGTTTAGGATGTGTCTGACCTCTGTACACATGCTGTGGCATGCACATGCCCCTTTGCACAAATCAGTAAGTAAAGGTAATTTTAAAAAATCAGCTTTAGCTGGGAATATGGTTCAGTTGGTGGAATACTAGCCTGGCATGAACAAGGCCTTGTGTTCCATCCTCAGCATAAATCGGGTGTGGTAGCACCTGTAATCCTAGCCAGGAGAAAAGAGGATCAGAAGTTAGGTCCTCTTCAGTTATATAGCAAATTGCAGGCCAGTCTGGATATTTATGAGACCCCCTTTTAAAACAAAACAGAAGAGTTTTAGTCAGGTGTGTAATCCCAGCACTTACCGGGAAGATTGAGAATTTGAGATTAGCCTGGGCCATGTAGCAGGATCAATTTCAAACAAAACAAAAACAAAGCAAAATCAACCTTACTGAGATATAACTTAATGAATGATAAAATTCACCAGTTGTAACTGTACAACTGGATGAGTTTTAATAAGCACATAGTTTTATAGATACCACCACAGTCGTGGTCCAGGATGTGCTGGTCACCCCAGAGCATTCCCTCATTGTCAGTCCTGTTTCCTAACCCTGAACCTTTACAAACACTGCCACTTTCTATACTGTTATCTTTTCTAGAGTTTCATATAAATTAAATCATGCAATAATTGGTAGTCATGTCTAGTTTTTTTCATGTCTTAATGCTTTTGAGATCTATTCATTGTGTCAGTAATTCATGTCCTTTTATTGTGAAATGGTAGTCCTTTAATAGGCATACTATGGTTTATCAATTCACCTACTGGTAGAAATTTTGGATTTCTAGATTTATTGGCTATTATGAATAAAGTTACTCTTAATTAAAAAATTGAGATGGGGGGCTGGAGCAATAGCTCAGAGGCTAAGAGCACTGGCTGCTCTTGTGGAGGACTGGGGTTCAATTCTCAGCACCCACAAGGCAGCTAACAACCATCTGTAACTCCAGTTTCAGGAGATCCAATGCTCTCTTCCTACCTCTTTGGGCATTGTATAACGTGGGTGCACTTACACACATGTAGACAGTGCACTCACATACATAAAATAAAAATAATAAACTATTTTAAAAAGATAAGTTACAGTTGAGTGCTATGTTGCACTTCTGCAATCCTAGCACCTCGGGAGCAGAAGTAGGAAGGTTGCCAGGAGTTTGAGACCAACCTTGTCTACACAGTAAAATCCAGCCCAGATCCCCATTAGAAAGACTTGTTTCAAGGAAGACAAAACAAAACAAAAACAAAACAAAAACATTGTAGCTGGACATGGTGGCACAGGCCTTTAATCCCAGCACTCAGGAAGCAGAGGCAGGTGGATCTTTGTGAGTTCAAGGCCAGCCTGGTCTATATAGTGAGTTCCAGGTGCTACAGCCAAAAACTATTGTGCCTGCCAAAAGGTAAGTTACTTAATATAAGCACTGAGCCGGGTGTGGTGGCACACGCCTTTAGTCCCAGCACTTGGGAGCAAGAGGCAGGCAGATCTCTGTGAGTTTAAGGCAGCCAGCCTGGTCTACATAGCAAGTTCCAGGCCAGCTGGGGCTACAGGAAGACCCTGTCTCAAAAGGACCAAAAAAAAATAATAAAAAAGATTTTATATATATATATATATATATATATATATATATATCACTGTGCTCTATATGTAAGAGGTCAGTCCAACAAACATTTTACAGTTATCTGCAGGACTAAATCCCATATGTGAAAATCGAAATCTAAAGAATTGAAAAACAAATTTTTCTTTGTTTAAACAAAGTCTTATTGGTGGGAAAATATGACCCTGGAGTTTGAGGCCAGCCTGGTCTACATGAGATTCTCTTGTTCTTGTGATTTTCTCATTGCAGAAGGATCCTGTATTGTCTCAAGCTTGCATTGGCTGCCTGGAGGCCTTGCTTGACTACCTGCATGCTAGGAGCCCAGACATTGGTAAGAAATCTTCTCTGTTCTCTGATGTTCCATGATCGAAATTGGAGGGTGCCAGCCCCTGGCATTTTACTGCCTCAGTGCTTTAACAACACTGCAAAGACACTGTCATCTCAATTGTACAGATGTGCACAGATGTGGGCACTTAGGTTTAGAGGGGTCAAGTCATCCATATAACCATAGAGCACCTAACAATGCTCCTAAGTGGCAGAGCCCTTTCTGTTGCCTCCCTCGTGCAAATCGTGGGCTATATTGTTCCACTGACTGAGTCTATATAGTTGAATAGATACCCAGGCAAGAAATCTGTCCAATTTCCTGCCTGTAGCTGAGCAGTCTTTTTTTTTTTAATTATTATTGGGGGCTAGAGCAATAGCTCAGCAGTTAAGAACACTGGTTGTGCTTGCAGAGGACCCAGGTTTGAATCCCAGCACCTACATGGCAGTTATTTTTATTTTGTATGTATTAGTATATTGCCTGCATGTATGTAAGCATACCTGTGTCATGCAATGCCCACAGAGGTCAGCAGAGGGTGTCAGATCCCCTGGAACTGGAGTTATGGATGGGTGTTACCTGCCATGTGGGTGCTGGGAACTGAACCTGGGTCCTCTGCAAGAGCAGCAAGTGCTCCTCACCTCTGAGCCATCTCTTCAGTCCCTGAGCAGTGTTTTTTAAGCTTATAGGAGAGCTATTCCTGGCCCTGCCTCCCATTCCCCCCCCCGCCCCAAACCCCTTTGGAAGAACAGCATTAACCACCTGAGATCTGGTGTTTCTTACAGCGCTCCATGTGGCCTCCCAGCCCTGGAATCGGTTTTTGCTGTTCACTCTTTTGGATGCTGGAGAGAATTCTTTCCTCAGACCCGAGATACTGAAACTTATGACCCTGGTAAGTGCAGAAAAAAACATGCTGTGACCTGAAGAATATCTCAGGGGTGGTGCTAAAGAGGTCCAGAATACAGTACCTCAGGTGACCCTAATCCTCAAGGAGCTAGAAGGGCTGGGTGGCCTTTACCCTACAAAAGACCCGTTTCAGAGAATCCCAGGATGCTACTATATCTCACCCCAGGAAATCCAGACACATTTTCTACCATTTTCTTATGAAATGTTGACTAGGGCCTACTACCATATGAGGGTCTGCTAGGTACGGAGGATGTTGATGAGCCATATGCTCTGCCTCTAAGGGACTCTAAACCTAGAGAAGAAGAAAGACGAGTAAACACATAAAAGTATGATACTTGTATGGTAAGTGTGTTTGGCACATAGTAAACACCCAGTGAATAAAGAACAAAGTGGTCAGCTCATCAGTGATAGTGAATCAATGGTTGATGTAAGAACACAGTAAAGTAATTGCTTCTGTGCAGTAAGGGTAAGGTTTCAGCTGAGGCTTGAAGGGTTACTAGGCAGAGAAGGGTAAGGTGTTCTAGGGAGTAAGAAATAATACATTCACATTATTGTGAGGGCTTTCACTCTGGAGCTTGTTCTCAGTGGGTTCAAGAGCACATGGGAGGTGACCACAACCACCCACAGTTCATTTGCAGTGCAAGGCTTGGGGAGGAGGGAGGCAGGAATGAAGGGGTCAGTAGAGCCACGTCTCTAGGACCTCAGTGTCCCTCATTTGCCCATCTGTGAGACACCACCACCTATTCCAATGCAGGGAGAGCTTAAAGGTGGCGCTCTGGGCTTTACAATAGTATTGCCTTAGGACACAGGAAACAACATCTCCTCCAATCACTAGGTGTTTGGGGCTTTTCTTTCCGGCTTAGTTTGTGCAATACCAGAGCAGCAGCATCCTGTCTCATGAAGAGGTGGAGCATGTTCTGCAACATGCAGCTTTGACTGACCTGTCCACTCTCTCAAAAGCCACACTCCAGGCTCTGTATGGCTTCTTCCTGCAGGTAAGTGGGAAGGCAATGACATATAGTCCTGTGAGGCTAGACCCTCAAGACCATCTTCTGTATGGAGGGTGGGAGCTCTGGCCATGGCAACCATAGGGAAATTTGAGAGTATTGGAGGTGGGGACAGTTAGAGTGCCTATCTTTCCTGTCTCTTCTGCAGGTACAGAGCATGGGCCTCTTGGCGGACCATAGCATGGCCCAGACCCTACAGGCCTCTTTGGAGGGCCTCTGTTCCAGCACCTCCTCAGCAGAGTCACCCCCTCAAGATATGCTGTATCCTTTTTTGCATCTGGGAGCTTTGACCTGGGCAAGATCACCAAGGCCATGGAGGCTATAGCATCATGCTTTCCTCAGCCCACATAGGGAGAGCCGATGACTGCTAAATCCCTTAGAAAACCTGGGTCTGTGGCTAGTCATGGTAGCCCATACCTGTAATCCCAGCACTCACTAAGCTAAGGTAGGGGAGGATCTTGAGTTTTTAGGCCAGCCTGGCTACACAGCAATACTTTGTTTAACTGTAGAAAGGAGAAAGAGAGAGAGACAGAGAACAAACAAGTCCTTGGGCTGTAGCGGTAGCCATCCTCTCCCTATGAGGTTGTGCTGGAGACACTATAGTGGTCTGTACCTGTGAAGAGGTTCTTCACACCTTTACTGGCTCCCGGCTTTCCTGGCTCTCTCTCCTGACATGAAATGGTTCCTGTAGTAGAGCAAGCTGCCTAACCTAGGTGTTCACCCCGAGTTTTGGATTCCTATCACCCATGCTCTTATCTAAGAAGGGTGGGCTCTGGAAGTGTGATATTCCCTCTTCCCCCTTCAGCTCCATTTCTCTTCTGTTCTCCTCACATGCATCATACCAGCTGCCTTGGAGGCGTAGCTATATCCCTGTCCCACATCAAAGACTGAGTCTCAGGACATAAAGGCCCCAAAACAGAAAGAAGCGAGACTTAAGAGACAGATTCAGGGCGTAATTGTTGGGGCAAAGGATGGCAGTCTCAGCTCTTCATTGTAGCCATTTAATCCACTGTGGAAATGGAGTCGCGAAATAAAATAATACTTTCACATTCTTGCGAGGGCTTTCACTCTGGAGCTTGTTCCTCAGCTGGTCGGATAGATAGTAGGGTTATTTCAACAAGATGAATGGGGGGGAGACAGAGATATAGCATTTAAGGAGTATCTGCAGGGTACCTCAGTTGTATCTAAAGAACATAAATCCAGCCCCTGAGCTGGGAGGGCAGAGAAAGGCCTCATGGTTGGAGCTGCTCTGGTGATGCAAATGCTTCGAGTTGCACTTCATCTCAAGTGGAGATGAGGAAAGAGAAATCCTACACAAGAAGGAATAAATCCTCCTCAGCCTTCCTAGCCCAGCAAACCTGCCCCAGCTCCCCTGGCTAAAGCGGGCCCTTTCAAAGCTTTTTTTACATACTCACATAAGCAGTCCTTACACGTCTGGCTGCAGGCATGTAGGTTGTGCTGCACAACTGTGCCCACACCTGTTCCTATGACAGCCCAGCCTGGACCTCTGCGATTTAAATACACCATGCCACCTGTCTTCCTGGATCTAGCTGTCCTGATACTCCCCATCCCCCATGCGAAACTGAAGATGATGAAAGAGAACTTTGCTTTAGAAACCACTGCAACGAAGGAGCACGTAGGGGATGCTGTACTCTGCACTGAAGGGTCTGCTAGTTCCTTAAAACACCACACACATTTCAGATCTGGTGAACTGCAGTTTAAAATACAGTCATAGGAGGGCATGGCGGCTCAAGCCTTTAATCCTAGCACTTGTGAGGCAGAGGCAGGTGGATATCTGTGAGCTCGAGGCCAGCCTGGTCTACATGGTGAGCTAGGGCTACAGAGAGACCAGGTCACAAAAAAACAAAAAATAGGGCTGGAAGAGATGACTCAGTGGTTAAGAGCAGTGGTTGCTCTTGCAGAGGACCTGGGATTCATTCCCAGCACCCACGTGGTGGCTAATAGGCTAACAACCATCCATAACTCCAAGTCCAGGGGATCCAACACCCTCTTGTGACCTCTGTGGGCATTGCACGACATGGGTGCACTTACATACATGCAGGCAATATACTCATAAAGTAAAAATATAGGGGGCTAGAGAGATGGCTCAGCGGTTAAGAACAATGGTTGTTCTTGCAGAAGACCCAGGTTTGAATCCCAGTGCCCCACATGGCAGCTAACAACTGTCTGTAACTCCAGTCCCAGGGGATCCAACAGCCTCTTCTGACCTCCGTGGGCATTGCACGACGTGGGTGCACTTACCTACACACAGGCAATACACGCATACACATAAAATAAAAATAAAAATTAAAAAAAATATATAGGGGATGAAGAGATGGTTTAGCGGTTAAGAACATGGAACACTATCTGTTTTTGCAGAGGACCTGGGTTCTATTCCCAGCACCCACATGGGAGCTGACAACTATTCATAACTCCAGTTCCAGGGGATCTGATGCCCTCTTTTGACCTCGGTGAGAACTGCATGACATGGGTGTGTAATGGCCCCAAACGGAGTCCCCCACATTGTAATAGTCAAAGTAACTTATTTTTGTATAAAGCAGCCACTTTAAATTTCAAAAGCTAGAAAAACAGCCAGCTTCAAGCTGAACCTAGTTGCTTCCCCTTAGAAGAGTGCTTTCTTTGGAGTAGCCGACCTTGGTCACCTCCCAGACACTGCAGCTCTTCTGCTTAGCCAAGAATAGAAATCAGAAAGTGCCTTACTGTCAAGGGCTCTAAACATCTGTTAAGGACTAACATAAGCTTGTTCTGGCTTCTGTAGTTTGCTTATCTGTGAACTTGGGCATCCTGACCATACTCAGGACCACCTGGCATTACTCATATGTGATGAAATTTCTATGGTATTTGTGGGTTTTGCCTTTATAAGTTAGTTTCACCCTCCTGGCAAGGGGCCATGGGTCCTGAATCTGACTAAGGGACCAGAGGACGGCTATAGCCCTAATAAATTTTGTGGGTTTTTTTTTTTTTGTGTGTGTGTGTGTTTTTTGAGACAGGGTTTCTCTGTAGCCCCAGCCGGCCTGGAACTCGCTATGTAGACCAGGCTGGCCTTGAACTCACAGAGATTGACCTGCCTCTGCCTCCCAAGTGCTAGGATTAAAGGCATGCACCACCACCCCAGGCAGCCCTAATAAATTTCACCAATTAAAATTTGAATTGAGTCTGGTGGTCTTTTTCCCAGTGGTTTCAAACTCCCTAACAGGTGCATCTACATGCAGGCAAAACACTCATAAACGTAAAATAAAAATAAATAAAACATAGTCATAGAAGAAACCTTTTAAGGACCTGGCCTGCAGTTTGGGGTTCAGTCCTTACGTCCAGATAAACTTCCTCCAACCCAGCCGGAACCAAGAGCCGGGCTCTAGCCCGGGTGCAGAGAGACTTGGCCAGGCTGGACCAGCCAGGCTCTGACAGCTGCAGGGAGCACGGGAGGCGGGGCCGGAAGTGAGGTCACGGAGTACGGCGGTCGCGGCCCTCTCTTATTGGTCGGGAGTGGCACGGTGGGCGGGTCGGCGCGCGGTAGTCTTTCCGCGGCTGGTCCAGTATTCCGGAGTTGAGCGTCGGTCGTGGTCCGTGCGTCCTGGGGCCGAGGGCTCCCCCGCCGCTTTTTGCCCCCCGACCCCTCCGGCTCGGGTAGGTGGTGGCGGGGGCACCGGGCTGCAGGCTCCGTGGTGGGGTGTTCGGGGACCGCAGGTTTCGGGACTGGGGCTCACGTCCTTGGAAGGCTTTCTCCCACGGCGCACACCGAGGAGGACCCCGACATCCCCGGGCGCGCACCCACTTCCGGGGCCGGCCACCCCCTCAGGCCCGCCACCGCACCGACTGGAAGACGCTGTTCTGCGTTTCCCTTTCTCACCTTTGCCCCGCTCGGTTGTCGCGCACTGTCTCATTCTGTCCCCAGTCCTGCTGTAGCCCGATTCGGCTTCCCCGGAGTCTGGAGCGGGTGGGCGGAAGGTGGAGGGACCTCCTCCAGGCTTCAGTTATCTGGCGTGTTCTTGCTGAGCATCTCTCCTCCGAGGTGAGTGCCCTGGCAGACCTGTGCCAGCTGTGATAGGGTGGCCTGCGTTTATTTAGTGAGGTGCAGAGCACTGAACTGGGAGTCAGACCTTTGCTCAGCCTAGGAACAGCTGTGTGACTGGACAGTCACCTCACTTTTAAAAAAAAAATTATGCGTATGAATGTATTGCCTGCGTGTAGGAAGTGCACCCCTGTGGTGCAATGTCTGCAGAGGTCAGAAGAGGGTGTTGGATCCTCTGGCGTTGAGGTTAGGACGGTTTTTAGCTAACATGTTGGGTACTGGGAATCGAACCCAGGTCTTCTTCAGAAACAGCCAGTGCTCTTAACTGCTGAGCCATCTCTCCAGCCCTCACACCTCACTTTTTTTTTGTGCCTCAGTTTGTACTTTAGTAAAATGAGTTAGCTGTCATCTGAGTATGAGGACCCCTCTTGACTGTCTCTCCCTCTCCCCCCTCCACACCCTCTCTCCCCCTTATCCATCCATGTTGGGTTTTTATTTTTATTTATTTTTGGTCTTTTTGAGACAGGGTTTCCCTGTAGCCCCAGCTGGCCTGGAACTCATTATGAGGACTAGGCTGGCCTTGAACAGAGATCTGCCTGCCTCTCCTCTGGGGTGAAGTGCTGGGATTAAAGGTATGCATCACCATGCCCGGCCACTTGGGGTTTTTAAGACAGGGTCTGACCATGTAGCTCAGACTGGTCTCAAATTTAAGGAAATCTTGCCTCAGCCTTCCAAGTGGTGGGATTACGGGTATGAGCCACCACTCCTGGCTCACTTACTTAATGTTGCACCTAATCAACACCACCTCATACTTCCCTCCCTTGGTGTGTGTGTGTTTGTGTGTACACCTGTGTACATGCAAACGGAGGCCAGAAGTGAACATCAGACGTTTTCCTCAATTCCTCTCTATTCTATTCTTTGAGACAGGATCTCTCACTGAACCTGGAGCTCCCCTATATAGTTGTCTAGCAAGCCTGAGGGATATCCCTGTCTCCACCTCCCCAGCTTTAGGACTACAGGCATACACCACTGTCTGGTTTTACATAGGTGCTGGGGATCAGTCCCAGGTCCTCATGCTTGCTCTGCAAGCACTTCACCAACTGCAGCATGTCCCCAAGCCCCTTCATCTTTCTTTGCATTTGTTGATTGTCCCTTACCCAGATTTTGCTTGCTGTACTTACTGTGTATGCATTCCTAGCTCTAGAACTGTCTGCAGCGTGGTCCATATTCAGTAATTGTCGGATATTGCTAGAATAGGACCAGATGTTGCATGTGGTACCTGTGGCCCCCAAGTGATGATCTCCAGGATTGCCCTGCTTGCCTTCCCTTTCTGTGTCCTTTCATCCTTTCTGATGATGGAAGTTGAAGGAGGAGGAAAAACACAGGGTTTTTTTAGTTTTTGTCTTTTTTTGAGACAGGGTCTCCCTGTAGCCCTAGCTGTCCTGGAACTCACTATGTAGACCAGGTTGGCCTTGAACTCACAGAGATCCTCCTGCCTCTGCCTCCCAAGCTCTGGGATTAACAGCATGCACCATCACTCCAGGTAACATGCAGGTTTTATATGCTTTCTCACTGCCTGAGAATCCTTGTCCTGATACCCTCCTAGAGGCTAGGGCAGGGACTGAAAGGGAATGCTATTGACCAGTCCCTTTCCTTACACACAGCGACACCCAGCCCTCTCTCTGTGCAGCAGGAAAATCACCTCCTAAGCCCTATTTTATAGGTAAGCAAAATGAGGTTTAGAGAGACTGAGCAATTTGCTCAGTAACATAGGCAAAGCTAGTCAAGAGTCTAACCTAGAGCTCTGGGTCCCAAGCCACATCAATTGTAAGCATAGCTGATACTTACCTTCTTTCCTTTCTCCTATAATCCTACAGGCCTGTGTCGTGTACCTCTAGTCACAGCCCTGGTTAGATCTTGGGGTTCCCAAAGCTGGGTTCTTGGTATTTGGAAGCCGGGCCGTGTCAGGGGAAGCTGCTTTTTACTGCACTCTCTTCTATTTAGTGACAGCCTTGATCTCACTCTCTTGGGTTACTTCTCTCATTCCAGAGTCTCAGAGATGGACCTTCTTCAGCTCCTGGCCTTCTTTGTCCCACTGCTGTCTAGAAGAGTGGTCACAGGCACCCTAAGCACCTCCCTGGACCCAAGCCTCAAGATTTGTATCTTTTGGGACTTGGGTAGGGTTAATGAATTATCTTTGATGGGCTGGCAAATGAGATCTCTTGATACCCAGAACTCCTTGGGGATTCCAGGGATGAACAGACCTAGCCCGTAAGAACAGGAGAGAGAAGATAAGGAGCTCTGGCTAGACCTGGAGCAAGTCAGTTCTCTGCTGAGCCTCCTTCTTCGTATGTTAAATGAAAGGCAGGCATGTCTCTTGGATCTGCAAAGGTTTAGTGAGGACTGTATTTGTCTGTAGTGCCCAGCTGTTAAGACCCCAGGAAGAAACTCAGGAACTTTGGGTTACTAGGTTATCTTCACCTGGTGCTCTGTTCCATGCCCTTGGCAACACAAAGCTGAGTCAGGATCAATCCCTGGCTTTGAGGCATCCATAGTCCTAGCTGGGAGAAAGATTCTAAACAGATGGTCCTCGCTCTCTGTAATCAGTGCTCTGATGGGTGCAAGAGGGACTGGGAGAAACACTGTGCCATGGATTCTGAGCAGGGTCTTGAGAGAACAGAAACTCCTAGAGAAGGATGGGGCATCCCAGGCAGAGGGTACAACTGGAGAAGGATGGGGCATCCCAGGCATGGGGTACAGTTTAAGCAGATCATTGGAGGTCCAGGAACAATGAATGATTGTGAGAGATGTCAGGAAAATACAGGGAAGGGAAGGCAGGAGCCGGATCCTGGAGTGTCAGGTTCAAGTGTTTTAGGGGGTTGGAGTCTCTGAGAACTGGACAAATGGCATATTACAGGACCTGTGTACTTGTCAGGCAGTCCATCCCTTCTCAGGGGTGCCCTGAGACCTCTGAGTCTGGACCATTGGGTTGTCTGGGTAGGGCCACAATGGTCCAGGTAGGGCTATTGGTGCTAGTCCCTTAACCTAACGCTGCTCAGACAAGAAGATGTTTGAGGTGAAGCGGCAGGAGCAGCTGATGGCACTGAAGAACCTGGCACAGCTGAATGACATCCACCAGCAGTACAAGATCCTTGATGTCATGCTCAAGGGGCTCTTTAAGGTGTGCGGGGGCACAGGGCAGCCCACAGCAGGCCAGGTCTTGACTTGGTCACTGATAGGTAGGAGTTCCTTTCCTACCGTAATAGTGTTCAGTCAGGAAGTAAACTGTGTGTACAGAAGTGATGACGTGGGATTCAGGTAAAGGGGTCTGGGGCCAGGTCGTAAAGGGCTCCACAAAGCTGCTCAGCCCGGATGGGGTTCCCTCAGGTGCTGGAGGACTCCCGGACAGTGCTCATTGCTGCTGATGTGCTCCCAGATGGGCCCTTCCCCCAGGAAGAGAAGCTGAAGGATGGTATGGTCTCCCCAACACTCCCTGTGCTCCCTACTATTCTGGGATTCTAGCTGCCCCCTCCCTCCTGTTCTTGTCCCTCTATCTCCCGGGCATTTCCTCTGTGGTACCTGAGGAGTTCCCCTGGGTTCTCTAAGCGTTTCTGGGTTTCAGAGCCCGTTTCTTTCTCCTTCACATGTTCCTTTATGCTGCCCTATGCTTGGGACAGGGAACTAGGCAGGAGCCTCTACCCAGCATCACTCCAGGGGCAGGACAGGGTCAGTCACCTTCTGGTAAAGCAGGCAGGAGTTGTTCCTGTTTGAAGGAGAAAAGACTGAGGCCCATGAAATAGCTGAGCTGACTATACCCATAGTCCCAAACTCCTTAAATCCTTTTTCAGACTACATGAAAAAAGCATAGATGAAGAAATGTTTTATGTCCCTCTACCCCTCTTCTAAGATCTGTCTTCAGTGGTAACCCTCCCCTCTTCCCCCTTACATTAACTGGTTACACATTTCTTAGTTCACTGAGATGAGGTAAACAGCCCCTGTGTTGGAATGATGGGCATTTTCAGACATCATCTCTGCATGCCTGAGCGTCTTACATTTCCAGTTGGAAGAAAACAAGTGATTTGCTTTGGCTTTCCTCTCTGAACCAAAGTGACTCCTGAATTCTCTGAGCTTCAAGATTGTTTTGAAGCCCAGGGGTCCTTGGTCCACATGCCAGCCTGGCATATCTTGGCTGTGATGCCCAGTCAGTTCTGGGCAGGACTGTGTGAGTCCTGCTCCAGGATTGGGAATATGGCTCCTCTTCATGCTCAGCTGGGTCTGAGGGACTTGCTGTTGTGGTAGACACTAACCCCAGTCTAAACGGACCTGCTGACCTCATTAGGGGAAGGATAGTAGTGGGAAAAACTGGTAAAATTCCAGTAAGATCTGTAGGTTAGTTGATGTGTTGCTGTTAATTTCCTGGTTTACATAAAGTTGCATAAGATTTTGATGTTAGAGGAGTGGAGTGAAAGAATTTTTGCGCTGTACTACGTAAGTCTAGAACAATTTCAGAGTAAGAACTTAGAGCCAAGAGAGGTGGCACACACTAATTCCAGCTCTGGGGAAACCGAAGCAGGAGGGTCCTGAGTTTGAGGCCAGCCTGGGCTACATACTGAACCAAGTTCATTCTAGGGTCTAGCTTTGCATACAGACAAACAAATCGTGGGCACATACACACAAGGGGCAGGAAGAGAAAGCTTAGGCACTTAACATTAAAATTTGTTCCACACTTGTAATCCCAACACTTGGGAGGTGGAGGCAAGATCAGGAGTTCAAGGTCGTCCTCAGTTACACAGTACATTCCAGGCCAGCCTGGGCAGCATGAAACCTTATCTGACAAAAAGAGAATTAAATGGAAAGACAATTTTAAACAAAAAAACACTACAACTCTGACCTCTTTGATAACCATCCTGACAAAACTGACCCCACGTAGATGCTATATTAACACAGCTCTGGACACTTGGATGGACATTGAGGGAGTGGATCTCTTTGTACAAAGCAGCACCCGTCTCTCTGGTTCACAAAACAAATGAATCCTAAAGAAAGGAAGGAAGGAAGGAAAGAGCCAAGCTAGTCTCCTGTACCCAAGGCTGGCTTCTTTACTCTGTAACCAAGGATGACCTAAACTAGTCCTGCTTCTACCTTCCAAGTCCTAGAATCATAGACACACACCACCACACATGGATTTAGCAGATGGGTCACGTTAGAAGCAAGTTGTGCCTTGGGCACATACCAGACTTTATAGCCTAGACTTGGCACTCACTAGCTGTTAACACCTCAGTTTTCTATTTGGAAAATACGAACAGCAGGGGGCTGTAAAGATGGTTCAGCGGTTAAGAACACTGACTGTTCCTGCAGAAGACCCGGGTTCGAATCCCAGCACCCACACGGCCGCTAACAAGTGTCCGTAACTCCAGTTCCAGGGGATCCGACAGCCTCTTCTGTCCTCTGGGCATTGCACGACGAGTGCACTTACTTACATGTAGGCATAACACTCATACACATAAAATAAAAATAATGAATATTAAAAAAAATTTTTTTAAAAAAAAAGGACAGCTATTTCTCCTAGAAGAGTCAGCTAAAAGGGTGGAGAGGCCCCAGTACACACTGCGTGGATGCTGGTAGCCTGTGGTCTCTAGATGCTCTTCCCTTCTCTGGTGGGTTTTGTGGATGCCTCCATTGTGGGGTGGGTTAAGGATAGTTACCCTGACCACTTACTAAGACTCCCTTGCCAGCTTTCTCCCACGTGGTGGAAAACACAGCCTTCTTTGGCGATGTGGTACTGCGCTTCCCGAAGATTGTACACCACTACTTTGATAGAAATTCCAACTGGAACCTCCTCATCCGCTGGGGCATCAGCTTCTGCAATCAGACAGGCGTCTTTGACCAGGGACCCCACTCACCCATCCTTAACCTGGTAAGGATGGGTAAAGAATGTCTGGGAGCCCTCTTCTGGTGGTTGGCTTAGAGCCTTGTGTCTGTCTGAGTGTCCGTTATCCTTGGGTATGAGTGCTTGGTTATGTTTTTTGTGAATGTCAGGGCACATTGGATTCTGTGCTCAGTGCTCCTGGAGGGCCCCTAGGGATTCTCACCTGGCCCACTTCTGTCCAGGGTCTGCAGCTTAGGTCCCTACGTGGTGGGAATGACTCTGGTAAGCAGGAGGCAGAAAGGCAGAGGATGACTTAGCTTTTTCTCATCCACAGATGGCCCAGGAGCTGGGGATCAGTGAGAAAGACTCTGACTTCCAGAACCCATTTAAAATAGACAGAACAGAGGTGAGTTTGTGTTTGCTTTGTCTCTGGTGGCATGGGAGGCTAGGTCTTGAGGGGCTGAGGCCTAGTATAGAATGTGAGGACTTTGGGCTTGGAGCCAGACATCCCAGTGGTCTGAATCCAGAAGCTGTCACTCAGTTGGGGGGGGGGGGGGAGGGTAGAGCTTTGGGCAAGTCACTGTTCCTTCACTTAGTTTAAGGCTCCCTGTTCACAGAGTGTACAGCACAGCTACGGCTGGGCTGAGGACTGGGGGAATCCTGAGCCATGAACATATTCATCTTTTTGCATGTTATTCCTCCCAAGTCGTGACTATCAGAGGGTCCAGGTGTGGTCAGATCGTTTTCTTCCCTGCTTGGAGCTCTGACACTAGTACATCAGGACTTCTGTTCTCCCTCCACATGCTTTTGCTCTAGAGTTCCAAAGAGGGCTCTGAGGCTACAAGCTACCATATGGGAAAACAATGGGGGCACATACAACACAGGAAGGAAGGGATCAGAGGGAGCAGGGCAAGGCCGGGAAGAGTTACTCAAGTGACCAGAAGACTAGGATTCTTTGAATCACAGGCTAGTGCCTGGTGTAGGGAAGAGTGTTGAGTGTGAGGGGTCTAAGATTTACTCTGCTTGCAGGCTGGTAAAGTGGTCAGCTTCTGTTTCAAAGCTGTTGACAAGTCATAGACATTAGTCTTTATCATAGCAAAAGCAATAGCTAGACTATCAGCCTTGTCATTTGGATCCCCTCATTCAAGTTCCTTAGGACCCCATGGAGGGGCCAAGCAGATGCTGTGCATACAGTGGGTTAGCATTATATTTATGTACCCCTGAACTCAGGAAATTTACCATCTTTATAGTAAGTGAAACAAACCTGTGCTTTGTCTGGGGGGACAATTACCTCGTCCTTCAAGATTATTGCCCCCTCCCCCCCGCCCCTGCAAAAAAAAAGAATACATGCCTTTAGTGCTAGCACTCGGGAGGCAGATGCAGGTGGATCTCTGTGAGTTCAAGGCCAGCCTGGTCTACATAGTGAGTTCCAGGACGGCTGGGGCTAAAAGAGACCCTATCTCAAAAACAGCAAAAGATTACTTTCTGCAAAAATAATCCTGAAAAATGCCCTGGGTAGTTGCCAAAAGGCAGGTGTGGTGGCACAGGCTTGTGATCCCAGCACTCAGGAGGCTGGAGCAAGAGGATTATTAAGGCCAGCCTTGGCTACCTAGTGAGTTTGAGACCAGCTTGGACTACAACTGTCTAGAAAAAAAAACCAAAAATAAAATCAGTCAAACAAACCAAAAAATGTTCAGGACTTTGCATTATTGATGTACCCAGCAAGCACATATAGAGATGCTCAGGGTCATGGCAAACTGCTTACCCTAATAACCTACCCAACTTCATGTAATTTGGATTAACTCAAATTTTCACATAAATATACTATTCAGTCTTATTAATCTGATTGTAGAGGCTGTGACCGATCCATTCAGTCACTCAGTCACTGGAGTGGCAATGTTCCATATGTCGTTTTTGATTGTTTGTATTTATTTTATGTGTATGAGTGTATTGCCTGCATGTACGTAAGTGCATCCAGGTCGTGCAATGCCCACGGAGGTCAGAAGGTATTGGAGCCCCTGGAACTGGAGTAATAAATGGTTGTTAGCTGCCATGTGGGTGTTGGGAATCAAACCAGGTACTTTGCAAGAGCAGCCAGTGCTTTTAACAGCTGAGCCATCTGTCCAGCCCCTGTTTGATTTTAGAGATAGAGTCTCATTCTGTAACCCAATTGATCTCAAACTTACCACCTTCCTGCCTTAATGCTGGGATTAGGTCTGAGCCACCATACCTAGCTCTTACAAGTGTTCTAAGTTGTAGGATAAGGCCAACAGCAGCCATGTTCTTCAGGGTCCTTGACTCAACCAGCCATTATGACTATGTCTTGGGAGAACCAGTGTGTTTCATTTTGAACTATCAGAATATTATCTAAGAGCAGTGTATTATCCACTGTATCCACAGATTAGATTTTTATCTGCCAGTCTTATCGGCTGTATCAGTTAATAACTATGAGAGGCAATCATCATCCACCATGGGGAGACATTCTCTGGCTCTTTCTCTTCCACTTTACATTTTGTAAATCATTAGTACATTGTTTGGCTGAGTCCTGAGGGCAGTGTTAAATTACAGAGTTTATCTGTGAGAGTAAAGCAAGGTTGTGCCATCCTGTGTTTCTGCACAGGTTACTTTCAGGTTACTCCTTTGATGGTAGGAGACACAGAAGAACAGCTCAGCATTGACTATGCATTTTCCCATAGTGGGAATGACACACTCAGTAGCAGGTTGTCAGCAGCACCTGTCACTGACCTCAGACCCTGGGGTTCTTGCCAGGTGGTGTGCTGGAAGCACAGGGTGAGGAGAGCACTAGCATTGCTCCCTGAGCCCTCCAGAGTCTTGGGCTGCTACGTTACTCCGCAGGTGCGTGGGTACTGTTCCTGCTGCATTACTCATGTGTTGTCCTGGTACCTACCCTTTTACTGTTCTCCAGTCACACCCTTCTTTCAGAAGATTCAGGTGTGAGTGAGACAAGCAAACTTTTACAAGTTTATAGGCTCATTAGCCAGTTGTCGTGGCACACATAATCCCAGCTGCTTGAGAGGCTGATATAGGAATTTGACCTGTTGGAATTTGATACCAGCCTTGGCAACATAAAGAGGGAACACCCCCCCCAACCCCCCCGTTTGGCAGGGAGAGGGAAAGGGAGGGGGAGAGACAGAGAGAAACCTATTATATCTTTGCCCATGTTGACCACTGTAAAAAGTTGGTAAGAAATATGCTTGATCAAATGGTCATAATCTGAATCATCTCAGACAGACCATTTCAACCCGGGACGTGCGTGGTTGAAACAGAACTATCTGCTTTGTGCCTGTCCATGCTGGTGGGTGGATACCATGTCAAGTGTAGTGGTGCATTTAGGTGGCAACCGCAGGAACCAGGAAGGTGGGAATTAGCTGTAGGGTTCTAGTCACTCTTATCAGAGAGTGGGTCTTAATGTGGTCATCCAAACAAGTGGCCCAGACTGTTTAGTTTGCAACAACAAGGTTTTTGCAGCTTGTGGCCCTAAAGAGGAGTAGGTATCTTTAATCTGCCAGTTTCTAGTCTCCCCTGCACCCCATACTAGGAGTTGAATCCAGGGCCTCACATATGCTAGGCAAATACTCTGTCACTGAGCTACACCCCTAGTCCTCTTTGGATTTTTTTTTCATATTTTATTATTTTTATTTTATGTATATATATGTATTGCCTGCATGTATGTAAGTACACCCATGTCATGCAATGCATGCAGAGGACAGAAGATCCTGTCGGATCCCCTGGGACTGAAGTTACCGACAATTGTTAGCTGCCATGTGGGTGCTGGGATTCGAACCCGGGTCTTCTGTAAGAACAACCAGTGTTCTTAACCACTGAGCCATCTCTCCAGCCCCCACTTTGGATTATTTTGAGACAGGGTCTTGCTGCGTCTCCCAGGGTAACCTTGAACTTATGGTCCTTCTCCCTCGGCCTCCCAGATAGCTAGGATTACAGGCTTGCACCACCACGGTTGGCCATTATGTAGTCTGAGTGGCAGACCAGTTAGCTGAACACTGACAACAGTGAGAAGGGCGTGCCTGGGTGGTAGGAGTGTCCTCTCAGGCAAGGGTGACAGCGTTCATTGAGAACATTGCCTGTCACCTTGATGGCAGTTAGTCTCCTTTCGTGGTTACTGGTGCTAAGTGGCTGTTGCCACCTGTAGTCACTTGTGTTGAGGGTCCTCAGAACCATCACTAGGTTTGTTGACACTAGGGAAATACATGGGATTGGAGTCTGGGAGATTTTCTGGTCAGTAAGATGCTTGCCATGCCGCTGATTGTGGTGGCACATTTTAATGCCAGTGCTGAGGAGGTGGAGACAGGCACATCCCTGGGGCTTGTGGACCAGCCAGCCTAGCTTAATTGGTGAGCCCCAGGTCTCAGTGAGAGACTTTGTTTCAAAAAACAAAACAAAACAATCACCTGAAGAGAAAGGACACCCAGAGTTGTCCTCTGGCTTTCTTCACAGGCAGACACAGAAACACATATCACATACTCCCTCCCTGCCATGGGGAGCATGGGATCCAGCGACTAACTATATTTGCATTTGTATTTACTGCAGAGAAAAGTTAGAAAGCAAAATCAGCCAAGGTGAAAAGGCACAAGGGACAAAGTCCAGGGGAACCAGCTTCCAGAGTTCTCACCCCATAGGGTCACAAGTGATGTAACTTAATCCTCCCAAGAACAAATTGTAATAACAGGAGCTTCCCTAGCAGCTCGCTAGAGACCTAGTGCCCTGATTTTTCCTGGGAGCTGGTTGTGAGTACCTCTGGCCCAGCTAGTATGCAGGTTCCAGGCTCCCAGAGGAAAGCAGGTATTTATCACAAAAACAGTGTAGGAACACTGAGCTACTCTTACTGGTTAAGATTGTGAGAGCTCTCCTAAAATTTAAATCTCCAGATCAGTTAAGGGCCAGCATAAGACACAGGCCTAGCTATTTGGGAGGTTGAGGAAGAAGGATCATAAGTTCAAGGCTACCCTGGAAAACAGACCCTGTTTCAAAATAAAACACAGAGAGGACTGGGGGGTAGCTTAGTGACAGAGCATTTATCTAGTGTATGTGAGGCTCTGGATTCAACTCCTAGTATAGGGTACCAGAGAGACTGGAAACTGGCAGATCAAAGATACCTACTCCTCTTTTGGGGCCAGATTGGCCTCAATTCCTGATCCTGGTGCCTTTACCCACCATGTGATGGGATTACAAGCATATACCTACACACTATACCTGCAGTGTTAATTAATTTCCAGCTACATTAGTTTTTAACTTAGCTGAAGTGCAATGGACCATGCCTGGTTATTTAGCTGAACCTCTGAGGGCCCAGCTGAGCCAGGGACTTTGTTCATACAACAGGGTAGAGGATATGGTTTTCCCATCACAGTAGCTGCCACTTCATCCTGCAAAACCAGAATGATACATCCCCCAAGGCTGCTTACCACAATCTCAACCCTGTTAAGTGGCCAGGGTGAAGAATAGTTAAGTCCTGCTGTACTTGGTGGCACATGCCTTTAATCCCAGCACACAGAAGGCAGAGACGGGCAGATCTCAAGCCAGTCTGGTTTACATAGTTCTGGAGACCCTGTCTCAAAAAATGAAATCAAGCCTTGCATTCTAGGTGTACCCAGTCAGGACATGCAGGGTACCCAGGAGTTTGGGGGGATTCTTTTCTCAATAAGGGAGTACCTAGAGCTTCATTTCTGTAAAGGAGGCTCTTCTCACCCTGTGGTCATAGATGCTCCTGTCACAGGACTATGAGCGGGACAGATGCCAGGATTTAGTATGCACATTTCGTGTGCTTTTGTACATAACCACAGCAGCGACATAATTTCCTTTGTGTTGGCTGGGGATGGTCCTCATATTCTGTCCATGTTTTCTCCCTGTACTGGGGCTTGAACCAGGGCTTTATGAATGCTATACAAATAATCTACCTCTGAGCTACAACCCCAGCCTGCCCATTGTTTATCTCCAACATGGACCTCTCTCCTACAGAATCCTCAGGTCAGCTCAGCTCTGATCATACATACCCTTCAGGGAGCGGTCTTGGAATCCTGTCCTGTGTCTTATGCACCCATCAGTCAAGCAAGCTTGCATCAAGCTGTGTGCTGGCTGCTGGCTGTCAAGGGGCCCTGGCCTTCTCCTTGCTTTGGGCCTCACAGAACAGTGGAGCAGGGAATTGTAATGAGCTATAAATCCTCTGAAGGGAAGAAGGTGGTGGGAGGTATTGGAAGAATAGGTTGCTAGGTGGACCACGGGAGGGAGGCCTTCTAGGCAGAGCTTGTACGGCAGGCCAAGTACATTGCACATTCATCCATGTAATATTCAGTGAGCATCTATTGAATCCAGGCCAGTGGGAAGCCACATTAGCCCCGCTCTTCCAGGTGTGGCAGCCTCCTGGGAGGAGTTGGTAGTCAGTTCAAAATACATGTTATAAGCTGGGCATTGTGGTGCACACCTTCAATCCCAGTACCCAGGAGGCAGAGGCAGGCAGATCTGGTCTACATAGGGAGTTCCAGGCCAGCCAAGGCTATATAGTGAGATCTGGTCTCAAAAAAACAAAACAAAGTAAACTAACAAAAAAATCATAATATGGTAGGTCATATCAGGGACTGAAGAAAGGAGTTGGGAATGTAATTAGGTTTATCCAGGGCGCAGGTGCCACTCACATGGGCTGAGCATAGTCTACTAAGAAGAAGGAAGTGAGAGAACAGCTGCATGCTGGAGGAGGAAGTTTCCAGGTTGGAGGAGGAGTGACTGCAGAGACTGAGCAGGGAGCATCTTCAGAGGGCTGGGCAGTATGAAGAGATGAGGTCAGTGCTCTAGATCACATCCCAGAAAGCTCAGGGCTCTTTGCAGACCATACTGTGGAGAGCAGGGTGGCAGGCTCTGACTTGCCACTTTAAAAGATCAACCTGGCTGGACCTGGTGGCAGATGCCACACTCTTAGCACTTGGGAGGCTAAACAGGAGGATTTTGAGTTCAAGACCAGCTTGGAGAGACCCTGTCTTTAAAATATTTTGGCTGCTGGTGCCAGCCGGCCTTAGATGAACAGCACCTGAAAGGGGGAGTGAGGATTGAAAGAAAAACAAGAGACAGAGAAAGATACTTGGGAGGACTGTCAGGAAAAGATTCTAGCAGGGATATCCATAAGCTTCCCATGCGACTAGGGGAGTAGTGAACACAGTACAGGCAAGAGGAGAGGTTTGGATGTGGGCCTCAAGTCCCAGCTTGGATTCTGGCACAAAGCAGGCTGTGAAGTCAAAGAAAAAGATTGACCATGGGCTCAGAAAACAAATGGTGAGGGATACCCTCTTGGCCACCCCACAAGAACATTTTCCTCCCTAGAATACCCACAAGGATGGCCACTGACCATCTGTTTTGCCTATGGAGAAGCCAAAACCACTGCTTCCCAGGAGCCTGTCCCAGGCCTACTAGCTTCTCAATTTATGTATTTGCTTTAATTTATGTGCGTATGCTTGCTTGTGTGTGCATACATTGTGTGTGTGTGTGTATTTATTTATTTGTGTGTGTGTGTGTGTGTGTGCGCACGTGAGTGTGGGTACCCACTGAAGCCAGAAAAGGGTGTCAGATCTTCTGGAACTGGAGGTGGTTGTGAGCTGTCTGATGTCAGTGATGCAGGTGCTGGGAGCTGATCGTGGGTTCTCTGGAAAAGAAGCTTGTAACCGCTGAGCCACCTCTCCAGCCTCTTATTTTGTTTTTTTGACAGTGCCTCATGTAGTCCAGTCTGGCCTGGAACTTGTTGTGTAGCCAAGGATGATCTTGAACTTCTGATCCTCTGCCTCCACCTCCCAGGTGCTGCAATTATAGGCATGTGCCAACACTCCCAGTTTTAAATATTTTATTTTTATTTTCTATGTGCATGAGTGTTATGCCTGCATGTAGGTAAGTAGACCATGTCGTGCAATGCCCGAGGAGGACAGAAGAGGCTGTCGGATCCTCTGGAACGGGAGTTATGGACAGTTGTTAGCTGCCATGTGGGTGCTGGCATTCGAACCTGGGTCTTCTGCAAGCACAGTCAGTGTTCTTAACGGCTGAGGGGTTAACTCCCATTAACTCCTGTTCCAGGGGATCCAACGGGCTCTCTGTCCTCCTCAGGCATTGCACGACACGGGTGCACTTATACGAAGGCAGTACACTCATGCACATAAAATAATAAATAAAAAATACATATTTTTTTGGTCTTTTTTGAGACAGGGTCTCTCTGTAGCTCCAGCTGTCCTGGAACTCACTATGTAGACCAGGCTGGCCTTGAACTCACAGAGATCCGCCTCCCTCTGCCCCCGGAGTGCTAGGATAAAAGGTGTGCACCACCATGCCCGGCATAAAATATTTTTTAAAAAGGATGAAACTGGCTCCTGTGTGCAGGGTAGTCTGGGAGCTAGATGAGAGCCAGGGCAGGCCTGAGGAGGCTGCTGTGCTTAGCTATTTGGGAGATAAGACCATAACAGTGGAGCTGGCGCAAAATTCAGGTTCTGGCTTTCATTTGACAGTTGAGTTTTTAGGATGTGCTGAGGGAATAGTTATGAGACAGAAAAGTGATAAAGATGAAGGAAGAGTTTGCTGAGCAGTAGAGAAACAGCTACATTTTACCCAGTCCTTGGAGAGGGATTTGTTTCTGTACCTGGTGAGCACCTAAATGAGGTGAAACAGGTGGTTAGATATGACTTTACATTCAGGGAGGTGGAGTCATGCCCATGTAGAAGGTACTGAAAGCCATGGGATGGACATGGTCACGTGGGGGCTGGCTGATGGAGTAGCAGTCTGAGGTCTGAGGTCTGGAATGGGGCTGCCACAGCAGGTACAAAGGCCTGGAAGTTGGTAGGCACAGGGAATTGAAAGAGAAAGGCTTTGGGAGTAACAAAGCCTTGCCGTGTTTGGTGAGCTTCTACTAGAAGTGTTGGTTTTGGAGACAAATAGAGCTGTGGATTTGAGAGGTAACTGGCGTGGAGGCCAGCAGAAGCTATGGGCTACTGAGACTTCTGGAAAGAATGGAGGGAAAAAGTCAAAAGGATCCTAGGGTGAAGCTGAAGATGTCCCAACCCAAATCTTTGTCCTCTGCCCATCTCTGCTGTATTCCCTGTTCACAGCAGGTCTTATACCTGTTGTCTGCGATTCCTAGCCTGCTTCCCTCCTGAAGGGCTTATCAGGCTGGAACTCCCTGAGCCACTCTCCCTGCATGAGACTGTCTCTCAGGTCACCCCTTGTCATCTGTCTCCTGGCCTGGAATCTCCCATCTTCCTATTTGCCTGCCAACTTGGTTTATCTTTCAAGATCTAGTCAGCAGTTTTTCAGAGCCCTTTATTCGCTTTCTTTGTCTGGGCCCCGAGGGCAGGGCTGTGTCCCAACAACCTTCCTGTCCCAACCAGCCTCTCTTAGCTTAGGAGACGCTTGCTATCCCTAAACTAAACCACATTGCTCTTTACCACAGTTCATTCCTAGCACCGACCCTTTCCAGAAGGCCCTGAAGGAAGAAGAGAAACGCCGGAAGAAGGAGGAGAAGCGGAAAGAGCTCCGAAAAGGCCCAAGAATCTCGAGATCCCGGTCTGAGTTGTAGCCCTGGAGCATCTTGGGGCTTAAGGGATCGGAAGAGGCCAATCAGAAGAGTCGGCAGGCAGCCATGTAGCTGGTTCAGATGGAGACCCGACGTTTGTTGGGTCTTCAAGAGCCAAGTCATCCTGGCTATAGAGACTGAGTCTCAGGAGTTTCAGGGGAACCCCCAGGGGGCCGTGAGAGACACTACTGCAATGGTACCTTGTGGGGTGACTGCTGAGGGAGGAGCTTCAGGGGCCTGGCCTGAGCCTTCCTGGCGAGTGAGCTGGTGGTTGGCTGCTGTCCCTTGTGGGGAGGCAGCTGAGTCACAGGTGAGGGTGCCATGCTTGCAGCTGTCCCTGACATGTTCCTGAGCCACCTGTCATGGGTCCCCACCCTCTTCAGGCAACAATAAAAGCCAGCAAACTCACTGGCCCCACTAAGGCTGGTAAGGGACTGTGAGGGAGCCAGGAATTTTTAGAGATGTTGAGACCAGCCTGGAGTATGTTTTTGCCTCTTTAAGAGGGAGCTCCAGGTCCTTGCAGGGCAGAGAAGCAAGAGTTTGACTTAGGCCTCTTAATCCCACACTATTGCTCTTAATGAGGGGTCAGTTTTGAGAGGGGACCTAGAAGTGTCCTGGAGAGTGTTTATTTCAAAGGGACCTTAAAATAACACAGTCTCTGCCCTCAGACACCTGGGTGCAGTCCTTGAGCAGTTTCAAGGGATAGTTGCCTTGCCTTTGGCAGCTACTAAAAAACTTCTCAGTTAGTGCATGGGGGTGGTACAAGGAACAGGCTGTGGGGACAGGCTGCAGGACGCTGTGCTTTGTAATGGGGCTCCCTGAGCAGCATTGGTCAGACAGTGAGCTTCCTAGCTCAGGGCTCAAGGCGAGTCCTGTGGCCACAGGGCAAAGAAGCTATGGAGGGACTTAGACCCTCAGTGGGCAGCCTGGCTTCTGTCAGTCCCAGTGAGGTGGCTGCCTTTCAGGCCTGCTTCTTCCAAGCAGAGGAGGGAGGGGCTCCAGCAGCATCATAGCTCTGCCTCTTTGACCTTGCCAAGCTAAGTACTTCTTAAAGGCAGGGAGACACAGCACCCCTGTCATGCCCTGCCCTCCTGTTACTAACAGTGCTCAGGTGAGACCGGAGCCCAGCCATCACCCTTGCTGACTGACCCTGGCCTCTTTCTCTTCCTTGTGCTGTGTCTTCATTGGCAAAATAAATTTGATGTCTGAATCCTCTGCCAAGCTCTAAACTTGGAGCTGGCCTTCCTCTTGGCAAGGGTAGCAAAGAGAAACCAGGCCTTAGAAAGGCTTTATGGAAGGGCCCAGATCATCATGCATCCTATCAGTTACTCAAGAAAAGTAAGGGAGTAAGTAGAGGAACAGGACTGGAGAGGTTTTCCTGTCAGAACTGCCCAGGAGCCACCTGGTCTCTCTTGCTGGGCAGGGGAGGTAGGGCCAGCTGATCTGAGAGACGTGAACTCTATCCCCAGCTCTGTCCCTTCCTTGCTGCATGACCCTAGCCAATTCCTGTGAGAATGGCAGCACTAGAATGTGTGATCTGTTATAGACAATTATAGACAATAAAGGGGTGGCATCTACCCATCAGCTGTTGACCCTGTCCTAGTACTTGTAGACTAAGGACTAGAGCCAGCCCCCGGCCCCTCTCCCCTTTGTGCTTGAGAGAAGCTGTGGTTGCTGGGTTTGCAAGAGCAGTGCTTCCCTTAAATGAAGGGAGAACTTGGAGAATCAGGCCCACATAGCTGTGGACCTAACTTTCTTAGAGGTGGAGGGGAGGTGAAAGGATGCCTGGGGCAGTGCAGCAGGCTTCCAGCTTTGGGTACTGAGTGACTTCTACGTGCTTTTACAGTAGCAGGACTATTTTTTGTTCGGAGAGTTTCATGTAGCCCTGTCCTGATCCTACTTCCCACTTCCCCGGTGCTGGGGCTATAGGTGTGTACCACCACATCTGACCAGCAGGATTTTTATACTTTGAGGTAGAGCCAGAGAACTATAGAGTGATGAAAGAGGCAGCCCAATATGGAGGGAAGGCTGGGCCACTCAGGTCTAGCCTAGGCTGTGCCTCCCTCACGGACTTCATCAGAACCAGGCTCTTGTTCAGATCCTTGAATTCCCTATCCCAGAATGCTCAGGTGTCTGAAGGAATAAGGAGCTATGAAAAGGCCCTGTAGGCGGAAGGTGCCTGGAGTTTAAGTGACTTCTGTGGTAGATTTCCTCCCTGATGGTTCTCTGTTCACCCCACAGATTTGCTGAGTGCCCACCACACAAAAGGCCTAAGAGAAAGGTCTGCTCTATCTGGGACCCTCTTTCTCCTGGGCTTTTTCCTTTACACTCTTTGCCTCTGTCTCCGTGGATTCCATTCTACCCGAGTCCAAGGCTTTCCTTCCACAGCCTTCATGAACAAGTGCCTTGCTGCTTTCCTCTCCTTGCTGCCAGTGCTGACTATTGTGGTTTCTTGTTCGGTGGACTCCACCTTTGAGTCTTACACAGGCACCAAATATCGTTAGCTGTAAAGACCCAAGGGAGGGCACTTGCTTCTCCAGCCTCCCAGCGGCTGGGATTCAATTATATGACCATAGCTCCACCCATTGGCTGCACCAGCTAGTTTAGTGCTGGTGGTGGCAGTAGCTGAGGTAACAGGGACAGTGTCTGTGTGTGTATGTTTCCTAGTGGCCAGCTCATGGTGTTCATGGTGCTAACAATGGTACTGTTAGTGTAGTCTTGGGTTCCGTGCCAGTCTGCTGGGCTTCAAGGTCCAGTCTGTGGCACTCCTAGAATCTGTGAGCCCCTTAATATCATTTAAGGCAGGGTGTCTCAACAGTGGCACTGCTAGTATTTTGGACCATCTGTTGAGAAGGGCTGTCCTGTGATGTGGGTTTAGCAGTATCCCTGATCTCTACCTGTAAGATGCCAGTAGCGATTCTTATGACAACTAAAGATGTCTCCAGCCTAAATGTCTCTCTCGGGTCAACAGCCCTTTTCCTTCCCTCTCCCCATTTTCCTCTACCCTCCTCAGTCACTGCCCAGAGAGATGCTGTTGAGGACTTCTTGGGGTGATCCTGGGCTGCTATTGTTCTAGCTCTGCCCATAGTCTAGGGCTTCTGTCTCTTCCTGTCCCTCACCTATACTTTAAGAGGTACTTGCCTTAGCCTATCCTCTCTGCTCTTGGGCAGCCACACCCTCTGAGTTCTGAGTTGTTGGCATCTGCCCTGACAACTCATTACTTAGGTTTTGGTTCTTTCCAACCAGACTTGCCCTTTCCTACCCCCTAAGCCCACTTCTTCAAACTCTTAGGTAATCCATCTAGAATGCTTCCTGGAAGAGGTGGTATCTGTGCTGAATCCTGAAAGATGGAGGAAGGAGACAAGGGCCAGAAGCAGAAGCACAAGAGGAGAGCTGTTGAGGAAGGAGATGAGAAGCATGCACAGTTCTTTCCTAGGAGCCTGACATAATGGCCACCCAGTCCAGCCTCTCTCTTCCAGATGAACAACCCAGGTCACGAGGAGCAGCTTGTGAAATGTGAAAGCCTGTCTTCCCAGCCAGAGCCAGGTGCCAGCTGCAGGAGACATTGTCATGGGGCCAGGCCAGAGGGAGGATGCAAGTGTTTTGTTGAGGGTTGAGACCTTGCAGCCACCATTTTGTTATTCCTACTGAGAGTTCATTTGTGTTCCTTCAGGCCACTTGGTCAAGTACTGAGGCCTGGGACAATCCTACTGGGAAAGCTCTAGTGTAGGAAAACCTGTCCCCAGCCAGAAATGACAGCACAAGTCAGGTTCATTGTTAGGCTTGTTATACCCATGGCCTTTCCTCCTCCTCTGTCATTTGTACCATCATCTGCCATTTTATGTTCAGTATCTTTTTGGTTTCACACACACACACACACACACACACACACACACACACACACACACACACACACACACACATACACACACACACACACACACACACACACACACACACACACACCCTGCCCCCACAGACAGGAGCTTGCATTTTCCCCTCTGTATATTATGAAAGCCTTTTTCTTGTCAATAAACATTTATGTGGTACCTTCTTATGTCCATAATTTTTAATGATGCCATCACACTCTACAGTGGGGAGGTAATTTGTTTATCCAGTGCCTTACTGGGCTTCTCAGTTTCTTCCCAGTTAAAGGAACTTTCTATGAATGTCTTTGGACGCACATACTCAGCTTTTCCTTGAGCCCTCATCTTTTTAATTCCTCAGGATAAGCATGGAAGCTTGCACCTTTCTGTACAACCTGACCACCCCAAGATAGGTGCTTGCAGGAATGGGAGCCCGTGCGTGGGGACTCAGGTGTTTGAGGGAGTGGGAGCCCGTGAGGGGTGTTTGCGGAGGTGGGAGCCAGTGCTTGGGGGACTCGGGTGCTTGCGGGACTGGGAGCCCATGAGTTGGGGGGGCTCAGGTGCTTGGAGGAGTGGGAGCCAGTGAATGGGGGGCATTTGCGGGGGTGGGAGCCCGTGCGTGGAGGGCTTGGGTTCTT